AAGAGATTTGAAATTCTCTATAAGAATTAAAATAACCCAAAATCCCGCAAAATGTCAGGCCAGTGCTGCTCAATGTGTTTGTTAACGATATGCAACCTGGCACTGGGAGCTTCTTGAGCAAGTCTGCAGGCAAAATGAAACCGGGAAGGGCTGCAAACATGTTGGTGGACAGGAGCACAACTGAGAAGGATCATGACAGATGGAGAAATTGAGCTGGCACTGACCAGATAATGCTTAGTGCTGACAAATGCAAGGTGCCGCACCTCAGAAAGAGTCATTCAAAATACAAATGCAATATGATTGACACATGCCTGGATGGGAGCACTACGGAGAAGGATCTGGGAATCTTGGTAGATCACAGACTAACAATACGTGAGTCAGCAGTGTGATGCAGCTGCATCAGAGGCGAATGCACTTTTGGGATGCATCAATAGAAGCAGTAGGTGCGAGGAGGCACGGAAGATGGTAGTGCTTCCTCTTGACTTGTGGCGGCCGCCTCCTAATCAGACCTTTGTCTGAATGCCCTCCAGGCGGGCTCTGCTACAGTGCCGGACATCAAAAGGGCTGCTGGAGGTGGCAAAACTTCCAGGACTAGCTGTCCCTTTACTTAACCCTGCAAAGTCCTCTGTTCTTCAACGTGTCTGCATTGCTCTACCTTCTCTCAGTTTCCAACTTCTTTTTCAGTATGGAACTCAAATTCTTTCAAGTTCTTTCTCATTTTCCGCTCCTGACACCATGCAGTGATCACCGGTTCAATGAACAGTATGCAAGAGGCTGCAGACCCTTGGCCTGTCTTTCACTAACTGACTCCTAAGCAGCTTCTCCATCAGGGACCATCCCAGGGAAGTGTGGCTATAGGCTTGGTAAGGCCAGGACCATGGCTGAGGCCAGAGACTAGCTTTGACCTGCCAGGACGAAGAAGCTCCAGCCCAGTGGGGGCTGAAAGAAAGCCCCCCAGCACCAGGCACTGAAGCCAAGTTATTTTGGTCATGTGTTTACTTGGTATTGTCCTGGTGTGACACAGATCCAGGGAGCAGAAGCACTTTAATTTGGAGTGGTTTTGCTTGTACCCATTTTTATGTTTGAAACTAGAGTGGGAGCGGCTGTGAGCAGAGGCTCGGGAGCTTCAAGGGGCACCTAGA